AACGGTATCGGACCACATTTGGAAGTTCAGACGTAGAAAAAATGTCGAAAAAATGTTTGTCGTTGTGGTGCGAAGCACATTTCGAAGTCAAAATTGTAAAAAAATTGAGGGTTTTGAGCCTTTTTTAACGTACAAATGTCGAAAAAACAAATACTAATTAATTTAACTAATTTAATTAATTTAAGTAATTTCATTAACGTAACTACCCTAACTTCGACGACAACAACAACTTCGACGACAACAACAACAACCACAACCACAACAACCACAACCACAACAACCACAACAACAACAACAACAACAACAACACCAACACCAACACCAACCACAACAACCACAACAACTACAACAACTACAACTACAACTACAACTACAACAACTACACAACAACTACAACTAGAACTAGAACTAGAACTACAACAACAACAACAACTACAACTACAACAACAACAACAACAACTATAACAACTACAACAACAACAACTACTACTACAACTACACTACACAACAACTACAACCACACAACAACTACAGCTACAACAACAACAACAACAACAACTACAACTACAACTACAAACAACTACAACTACAACTACAAAACAACTACAACTACAACTATATGACTGCAACTACACTACACTAATTACATTACACCACAACTACAACTCCACTACGCTACAACTACAACTACAGTTGCAGTACATCACACTACATCCAGCAATTGTGGATGAGGTGACCACTGCAACCAGTGCAACCACTCCAGCAAACACAATTCCAACCACCTTTCGGTCAATCAGTGGCTTCGCTCTGCCATCCGTGATTCAGAACAACCAACGTCTCCTATAGGTTTCCTATTCTGAAACTTCCGCCACCGCCTTGTGCGGTACTACTGGTAATATTAATAATCTGATTGATACTAATAATACAAGCGAACGCCCTTACATACCCCATCCACCTAGTAGTTACCCCATCCGCAAGGCACACCGAGTTACCCCAGGGCAGACAATAGTTACCCCAGATTTCAAATCCCAAAGGCACAGCGGCTCAGATACAACATGTTTTGAAGTCGTTGCGAACTTTGAATCATGTCCCTAGCTTGCATTTAGCTATGCCCGGAATCAGAAAATGGGAAGGTGCGACCTGTCAACTCGGAGTCAAATCCCAATGGCACACCGCCAAAAGCAATTCCAGCCCAAAAGCTTAGCCAAGCATTGAAACAGCATCGCCAGCTTGCGTTCTGGTATCTCCAAAAGAAACAAAATAAAGGGTGTCCATGCTCATAAAAGCTAAAATCCCAATGGCACACTTGCAGGAGAGTGGAAGACTTTCACGAAGTCGTTGCAAACTTTGAATCATGTCCCTAGTTGCATTTAGCTATGCCAGGAATCAGAATATGGGAAGGTGCGAGCTGTCAACTTGGAGTCAAATCTCAAGGGCACATCGCCAAAAGCAATTCCAGGTCAAAAGCTTAGCCAAACATTGAAACAATATCGCCAGCTTGCGGTTCTGGTATCTCCAAACGAAACAAAATAAAGGGTGTCCATTCTCATAAAAGCTAAAATCCCAATGGCACACTTACAGGAGAGTGGAAGACTTTGACGAAGTCGTTGCAAACTTTGAATCATGTCCCTAGCTTGCATTTAGCTATGCCCGGAATCAGAAAATGGGAAGGTGCGACCTGTCAACTTGGAGTCAAATCCCAATGGCACACCGCCAAAAGCAATTCCAGCCCAAAAGCTTAGCCAAACATTGAAACAACATCGCCAGCTTGCAATCTGGTATCTCCAAAAGAAACAAAATAAAGGGTGTCCATTCTCATAAAAGCTAAAATCCCAATAGCACACTTACAGGAAAATGGAAGACTTTCATAAAATCGTTGCAAACTTTGAATCATGTCCCTAGCTTGCATTTAGCTATGCCCGGAATCAGAAAATGGGAAGGCGCGACCTGTCAACTTGGAGTCAAATCCCGATGGCACACCGCCAAAAGCAATTCCAGCCCAAAAGCTTAGCCAAGCATTGAAACAACATCGCCAGCTTGCAATCTGGTATCTCCAAAAAAACAAAATAAAAGGGTGTCCATTCTCATAAAAGCTAAAATCCCAATAACACACTTACAGGAAAGTGGAAGATTTTCACGAAATCGTTGCAAATTTTGAATCATGTCCCTAGCTTGCATGTAGCTATGCCCGGAATCAGAAAATGGGAAGGTGCGACCTGTCAACTTGGAGTCAAATCCCAATGGCACACCGCCAAAAGCAATTCCAGCCCAAAAGCTTAGCCAAACATTGAAACAACATCGCCAGCTTGCGGTTCTGGTATCTCCAAACGAAACAAAATAAAGGGTGTCCATTCTCATAAAAGCTAAAATCCCAATAACACACTTACAGGAGGTGGAAGATTTTCACAAAGTTATTGTAAACTTTGAATCATGTTCCTAGCTTGCATTTAGGTATGCCCGGAATCAGAATATGGGAAGGTGCGACCTGTCAACTTGGAGTCAAATCTCAAGGACACATCGCCAAATGCAATTCCAGGTCAAAAGCTTAGCCGAGCATTGAAACAGCATCACCAGCTTACATTCTAATATCTCCAAGAAAACAGAATAAAGGGTTTCCATTCTCATGAGAGCCAAAATCCCAATGGCACACTTACAGGCGAATGGATAACTTTCACAAACAAAATTTTAAAATTAATCACATTGAAATCACACCCTGCCCTGCTGTAACGGAATCCGAGACATATGGAAAATGGATGGTAATACCAGAATCATAACTCTGGAAAGGTTTTTAGACGAGGTACCGGACGAGATATCGGACGAGGTACCGGAAATACATTTTGTTATCCCAGCCAAAACCCACCCCACGTATCCCCACGTCAGAGGATAATGAGGTGGAGGATAACGGTGTTAAGAAGGAGGAAGATAATGATGTTGAGGATAATCATGTTGAGGAGGAAGATAAAAAGGATAATAATTAATGTTGCGGAAGAGGAGGTGGAGGAGGAGGATATTGCAGAAAATGAAGTGGAGGATGACGATGTTAAGGATAATAATGTCAAGGGGAAGGACGAGGATAATGCTGAGAATAATGATGGGGAAGAGGAGGAAGATAATAATATTGAGGAGGAGGAGGAGCAGGAGGAGGAGGACCGATTACAAGCCCCCCGAGTGTGTACACACTGTGTGGGAAACTCACGTTGCTCCAGGAATTGTTAGGGGGCAAATGGATATAATTTGATATAACTAATGTTTGTCATGTTAAGAATCCCTGCGTACCTATGTGTTGTGCTGTAAAAATCATATAAAATAACAAATCATATAATAATTCATTCCAATGGTTGTAATACTTCTTCTGCATAGCACACCGAAATAAGACAATAAAGTGCTATCTAAAACAAGAAAGAATTTTCACCCAATATTAATAATATTAATAATATTAATAATATCAATAATATCAATAATATTAATAATATTAATAATACAAACAGAAATGACGAGATCTGACAAGAATATTCTGCCAAGATCCAAATTATTCCGCAAATAAAATTTTCCTCCAATGCAAGATGTATTTTAAAAGGGCTACATAATTTATCTAATTTCCTAAGATGTAATTCATCCATGTCCATCCAATTATTTGCTTTAATATAGGTGTGTTTTCTAGCCATTCTAACTAATTTCCATCCAAATTATAGGTATATAATTAAATATTTCATTTTAAATCCATCCACTTTCTAATAATTATTAATTAGCCAGCCCTCCAGATTCGGACAGAATAATCGAGACTAGAAGGTAATAAATTCGCAAAAATAATACAAAATTCCAATACCGGGGGGGTCCATTTACAAAATAGCAAAACCCAGGGTCAAAAATTTGCACAAAATAATAGCCAAAACCCGTTCTATAACGGCCTCAACACATCAAATTTAATAACAAAAAAATCAATGAGAATATATATTTTAATTCTTCCTAAATACTTTTAAATCCTTATCATCCTCATTTAACAAAAATATATAACAACCGAATCCTTCCCCATATATTATTTTAAATCTTCCTCATTAAATACCTACCAATTATTACCTCACAATTTACATTTCATATCAATAGTATCCATATAAAAATTATTTTAGAATTATATTAAAAATCCTATATCATTTATAATATTTATAAATAATTAAAATAATAATATTTTTTTCCAAATGTATAATTTCCCAATATAATTTATAAAATTTAAATATATATTAATTATTAATTATTTTAAAATTTAAATCTAATTAAATATATTAAAAATGAAATTAATTTAGATAATTAATTATCTAACCATTATTTATTAATAATATAATTATATTTTTAATATTGCATAATAAATTATGTTTATTATTATTTAATATTTTTTTTTTAAATATCAATTTTATTTTTTTTTCAATTTGTTTGAATGGGGTAATCTAGAGTAAAATTGCTTAAATTGTGGGCAGAGCATCAAATTATCAAGCTAGAATATATTGCATCAAGCATCATCAGACCTTTGAATTTCCTTATAATGGACATCATTTGTTGAGCCTTCTGCTCGTGTAGAGACAGATCTACTGCTGGTTGCCAGCAGAGATCGCCAGAGGGTCCTTCTTTGGGAACCATCGGCTCAATAGCTCCATTGCCCTGCCTTGATCGGCGTTTCCGAGCACATCGGTGAGGGTCTTGGGCATTGATCTCCAAAGCCCAAGAACTTAAAATCCGAACGCTCACAGCGTTCATGGTAAACTGCTGTTCTCGCGTCGCAAAAAGAGCGATGCGAGCCCAAAAGAAAAAACGAGGCCAGTCAAAGCTGTTCTTTAAAATCCCTCGGACACTAGATTGAGATGGTTCAGCAACCCTTCGAGAGAACACCAGGCCAAGTTCTCTACAGAGTAAAAGGACAAAACTCACACGTTTGAATTCATGGAAATCAAAACGCACTAAACCACATTACCTTCAAACTTGCACTGGATTCGCACTGTCTCATGATTTTTTGAGAACTTTTTGCGGTGATCAACTGCGGGATGCCTCAAGCACCTTGAACACGGTCCGCCATCTCTCGTCTCTCCTCCGCAGACGCCTCCACCAAATGACAAAAGGGTTGAACTCAGCAATTATAGGTCCCGCACCGGCCCGCACCCTATGATAGATCAACATGACAACTGGCTTTAATAAATTTTCAAGCAGGCTTGATCCAAGCCGCAGAATTCCAGCAATTGCTATGTTTGTTCAAATGGTGTTCCACATGCAAATCGGGCTTTGGTGAAATCCCGATTCTCGGCAGTTGTGTTGCACCACTAATTATATACATACTTTTATATAATCTAATTATTCCTGGCATATCATGCAAAACACTGACGGAGTAGATGTTTTTGCAAATATGCAATTCTGAGACTTTTCCAAACTTGCTCATATCCTGCAATCCTAAAAAACAGCTGCTTAATAGTAATCACATATCATCACCATTATCATCACCATTATCATCACCATTATCATCACCATCACCATCCTCATTTCCATCCGTATCGCCCTCATCATCCTAGTCTAGATTCGAATTGTGACATGAACAGAAGGCTGGTATTGATTTATCATACTAGTAGAATAGGAACGCATACGGCATGGTGGCGCATTTAGATCTATGCAACACCACCTACACGCCAACTACTTTTGATGTTGTATTTGTCCTTGTTGAAGGTTTTTTGTCAAGGGAATCTTGATCAAAAAATCCTTGTCCACCCTCCAAATGATTTGTTTTCCGCAGGACAAGCGGCAAAATAGGAGCTTTGAGCCCCAGCCGATTTGCTTAGCCTTGCAATGATCTTGAGACCATAATTCATGTAGATTTCCTTGGATTTGTCATATATAGTATATAGGTAGATCATCATATTTGTTGTTTCATATTCTTCCATCACTTTATGTGGTATTTAATTATCCAGGTAGAGAGCAGAAATCTCACGATGCGTTGGAAAGATCAGGAGCCCAGCAGGGTCCCGCACAAACCCAAGGCGGGATCCAGCTTACCTATACCCGAAGGATGCCAAAGGCCTTAACTTCTTGTCAAGCCGTGGATACACTTTCACAACTCATTGGGGCTACGAAAATACCAAGAGCATCCAGCCATATCTCTGCTATGTCGGTCACCGGCTCAAAGCCTCGTGGGCATCGACTGCATGTCGAATCGCCTGCCCAAGGATTCCAGCCTTTAGATTCGTTAGATGGCTCATTTAAAATGATTTGACTGAGAACCTATGATAACTTGAGGATTCCATCGATTCCTTGGGTCTTCAGACGGCTTGAAATTGAAAACACACGTGCACCTCAAACCTACAGATACCTACAGTAAGTCATCAGGAACCCCCCTCCTCACCAGCTCATCCCACCTGCGCGACAGGAGTGTCCATGCCGGTCTGTTGGGCATGGCCCTCCAGCAGCTTTTCATAGACTGTGCAGCTGCGGGCCGGCACTACCTGAAACATCTGGAGTGATAGGATCGCTTTTAGCTGGATGCCCGAACAGCAAGAAGTTGCGTCTTGATGTCCAGACATCAGCATGAAACACTAAAACATACTAAAACATACTAAAACATACTAAAACATAGTAAAACATAGCAAACATTAGTAAAACATACTAAAGCATCAAACAAAAGGGCCTGGAATGGATTGGAATGGCCTGGATGTTCAGTTTTCTCATGTTTTCTCAGTATGTATCAGATTTGATCAGGGCTACTTCCCACTATCTTCCCACCTTCAAGGTGATCGAAGCCATTCTGTCGTTGAAGTTGCCGGGGCCTTGCGCAGGCCATCGCTGGTCAAAGTCTTTGGATCCCAGTACCAATGGCATTCAATGGCCATGGGTCATATTGGGACGCCCAAAAACAATAAGAAAATGACAAAACCACAGTAGCCCATAAGACTTCTCTGTAGCCTACTGCAATTTCTCTGATCAAATCCACCGAGCCTGGGGAGGCGATAAACTGTCACCCCAAGATTCCTTGACTGCGCCCTTGGTGACGCCTCCAGGTACTCCTTCCGGTGCAGAAAAGTAAACCCAATCGTGCACCGTGCGTCCTGCACTGGGCACGCATGGATGAGGAAAGGAAATGCGTCGACGTCAAACATCTTTTCTCACAAATCTCACAATGGAAACTACATGCATCTAACATCGTAACAAAGAACACCACAATAAAGCGGAGATATAGCCGGCATCAACTTGGCTGGTACAAAGTTGAAGGTACAAGGACTTTTCATACTCGGCAAGCTCTCGTATCCGCAAACCAATGTAGTTTTCTGCTCGCACCATGGAAGTATCAGACCGACCCTAAGTCAGACAAAGGTAGCGAAGCGGAAATTCTTCCCCAGAGCCACACAGCCCAGTCATGCTTGATTGTCTTATGAGATCGGAAGTTTCCAGAGGGGTGCTCCATTGTCATATTGTCAAAGCATGTTGTGCCACTGCGATAAAGCCATCCATCCAACAAATCAACACCAGATGTAAACCACCACATTCAACTACCATCCCAACTAAGAGATGTATCTCTCCGACACCCTCAACAGCTAGCTAGCCCATTGATGCCAATGGTTCCGTTTAGAACCACCTGACTTCAGAAACCAGGATTGTGAACTCCAAAATTGGGAGTTTGCGGCTCCTCTTCCCCTGAAGTCGTAGGCATCCGAATCCAAGCAAACCTTGTACCTGCAAGCAAACGAAGGCATGCTTTGGGACCTGTGACACACACACACATCGGCATCCACATGACCGAAACAGAAACATACATAAGATCATAAGCAGGCGAACACATGAAAAAGGTGATTTCAATTGATTTCACGCAGCTGTTGAAATCCTCAACTTCGCAACGACTTGAGATTGCAATTTGAGGATCATGGAAGGGACAGTCAAACACAGGGAACTTCTGTCACCCAGGCACCTGCCATGTTCACGAACGCCCACTTTGTAGTCCATGTAGTCATTGCCTTGGTGCAAGCTGTGTGATCAACAAAATCCAACAATGGTAACAATGTTGGTGTGGGGGTTTATCCCCCCGGTTGTCTAGGTATCTCATAAGGTTGTACTCTGACTTAATTCATCTCAATTTGTTGTACTTGGCTGTAGAGTAGAGGATCTAATGCAAACAACAGCCAATTTCGATGGCATATCACTTCAACTGGGTTTGTCTACATAAAGGATTCTGTGAAATCTCTTCCGATCTCAGTGTAGTACCTTTTTCTTCTTAGCAAGTGCAGTATTCCAGTGTATGCCAACTCTTTGATGCATTGCTCAAAAATAAGATTTTGTGAGGCTCCCAGGCCAAAGGCTTCATATCTTCTGCACAGAAAAGCAGGGTGCCATGATTTGGAGGCTAGGGCTGCAAAAGGATTGACTAACGTGAAACCTCCCCAGTTAATTCAGGATCTTCCCATACAGCAAGCATCACTTCGGGGACTGTGCCTGGGATGCAACACCCAAGAGTGTGCGATGAAGAATCCTGGAGTCCATCCAAGATACTTGTTCGATATTTGGACCGTCAATACTCAGGAAATATCCAAGGCTTCATGCCGATAGATAGCTCAAGCCACAAGCAGATACAATAATACAATTAGTACTATCATGATTATCGTCTCAATTCAGAGCCCAATATCTTATCTGATCTCTGGTAAAAGTTGCTGCGGGGAACATCTAGCATTTTGCATCCATATTATCCATCAGTTGTATTTGCGAGACATCAGTTGAGGCGTCGGCAAGGATGTAAGTTGATCACAAAGATAAGCTCGCCGCGTTCAAAGACAATCACCTTATCCTCCTGCCCATGGTGGGTCAGCTGCAAATTCGCGGCTAATTCCTTCCAGTGTTGGCAATCTAAAGACTGCTTTTCTTTTACCTTAGCAACTTGGACTATCAAAGCTCTTGCAAACTGGGTTTGGGTCAAAATTATTCGAAACCTATTAAAACCTGGGCATCCTGTCTGCCAAGTAATTATCTAAAACCGTCGGAATCTTGGATTTGCTGTGCGATGCTATGCGATGCTATGCGATGCTATGCGATGCTGTGCATATCTTTGATCCACAGTCGCGTCCGGGGCAAGTCATGAATTCTGGGAATGATCTCAAAGCTCTTCGCACAAAAAAGTCCTATGTACAAGTATCACAGTGATTGAGCCAGTGGCTGTCCAACGATTGGACTTAATTATTTGATTTCTAAAAATAAATAGTGTAATTTGGATATATTTTTACATAAATTCTAATATGTTATAAAATATTGCTATTTAAGGTATTTTGAGGTGGTTTTGAAATCCGCTGGATCGAATACTTATAAATTGTTCGAAAGAACTTAGCCGAGTGAAGATTGTTTTTTTTGCGCAATTTATTGAGTTCGAAATCTTGAATGGGAAAATATATTTTATTTAATTGTTTTTCATTTTTTTGATTGATCAAATTCCTGACATCCTAATATATTATTTTGTAAAATAATATAACATATTTTATAATATGAAAAATTAATTACCTAATAAAACATATTATATTAAGTTCAATGGTTTAATCGCAGAAACGATTTTGTGGATCCATCAGTACACTGTTTTTGAATATTGTACTGGTCGGCGTATCCCTCATGACCCCTAAAGTCGTGCAAGTCATGTTCTTTGCCGCCCCCAAGCTAGGATTCCCAACTTCCAAAAGCGTATTTAGGCCCTCTGGATCCCTCTGGAATCTGCAAAACAATCCCTTTGAATACTCTGCACTTCTGCAGTTATCTTGGGAATTAAAATTGCATCCTGTTCCATCCTGTTCCTGAGGTCGCATCCTCCATGGCATCGGCAAATTCCCACCTCGTGTTGACTGGAAACCAAGAGGTGCTCGTCGCTCGCAAAGCCAGTGCTCTCCTGGACTGAAAGATCATTGCTGCAGCATGCTGCAGCCATATCCCCAAATTGCAGCCTGCTGTGGCTAGTGTCAACAACAGGGCTGAACGGCACAGAAGGGCAGCGTATAAGTCTAGAATCTAGAGTCTAGAAGTCCAGTCACCCACGGTTGTGTGGAGAACATTCCCTGGTCCATCCTTGTTCAGATATCGATTTCAAACTCAAGACTGTTTCGGTGACTACCGAGAGATTCAGCATAGCACTTGAGTCATTCTTGTAAACTGCAACTCCTCTGAGGTGCAGCCGGAAAAATTGGCTGCAGGGCGCCCTCCCAGAGATCACTCAAATAAGTTGCGCTGGATCATTCCCCTCCGAAGCATCCTTTATTCACAGCCCCAGGACTTGCACCTCCAGTGCATGAAGGGCAACATCCCACTTGAGAAGGAATCGGTACCTGTCACATGGAAAACGGCCCACATTGGTGCTGAACCTCTCAAAATCAAAAGGGTAGGGCTTTCTGATCAAATCCACTGCTTGATAGCAGGCGGTACGCATCCTTATCTGATTTTCTGCATTGCGAGAATACCGTCTTTTGCTTTCATTTGCACATGGATCATAAGTAGTTTTATCATGTTTTATCTATAAGTGTATGTTGTGTCTCAACATCGGGAGCTGTCCTGAATCAACTCTTGACTTTGAACTTGAGTAACATCCAGGTGATTCAAACAAGTGGTCGTGTGTCAACATTAAAGCCCTGAATCTATCGTTTTTTTGCGAACACGAGCCACTCTTTTTGGGTGTCTATGTTAAGGCCAGTCTTTTATCTGTCCCAACTTATGTACAGTAATGATCCCCAACCACTCCCTGTTGGAAAAACTGCTAGCTATCCAATCCCGCACCTCAATAGGCCACTGTCGGCCAAGTCGAAACGACGTCGGCAATGGGCCGAGGACCAACTGTTGCCTGTCTCACGTCCAGCATGGTTAAAACATGTTAAACCACTGTGAAAGTGACCATGGGCATGTCAAACATGTCGCATTGAAGCAAACGCTATCCAACTATAGGAAAGAAAGCATCCAATATGTTAGCTTTCAAGGTTCTTGCAATCGCATCGTGTTTAGCCAGGATATGCTTGACAAATTTACAATCAGAAATGGCGACTTTGGTGAACTTTGGTGTGAACTCTTGGCAACCATAGCACCTGACATGCAAAAGTCCCTGATAGGCAGGAATATCATGATGTCACACGCCTTGCTGTCTTTGAACTTCATGGAATATTTGTACCTTCATCCTGATGATCATGATACATCATCATTCCTTTGCCCTTGGTTGAGCTTCTATGAAAGGCTGAAATTGCACGCAGCTTCGAGTTTCCTTTCCTACGAACTGAAATAGCCTTGTTGCCCTTATATGACTCCATGATCAAATCATATGCTGCATGCCGTGTATGCCTCTACCTATGCCATCTAATCCAATCTAATCTTACCTAATCCAAGGGAACTAACCCAATCTGTGAAAAGGTTCCCGAATGAAGGCACCTAACGTTTGTATGGATGTGTGTACTTGCCTAATGTACGCATGCTATCCAAAGCACGGCTTGTCTGCAATGTATGTGCAGCATGTTATGTACTATGTATATACACATATTTTACACACACACATATATGTATATATATAAAGTGTATTCTGTGTACATGTAGCGCGTCTATTTTTTATAATGTGTAAGTGCTGCGTATGCAACGTGCACGCAATGCATGCAAGTATTGTGTATCACTTGACACACCTGCAATCCAGGATTTACTTTGATGGTACCTCCAAAATCAAAGTCTTCCCAGCTGATTCCGAGGTGGTGGATTGTTCCAGCAAATCCAGGTAGCGCATGTCAGTCATATACGTTTACTGAACTTACACGCGGTGCATTGCATACATGTAGACTCTCTCTTCAATATATATATATACATACATACACAATAACTATTTACATACACAAAAATACACCTAAACACAATATATATATATATAACTGTATATGTATATGCACATGCCATCCCTTGTTAGACTATATCCACACCTAGTGATGCGTTACGTCTGTACATGTCTGCCCACATGTGGATGATATGAAAATACACCGTGTATGCATTGTGTACGCAAGCATCCAGATCTAGATATCTGTATTTTCTGTTGTTTTCTCGCCTTCTCGTGGAAAATCTACCCATTCTGGGTGTCCAAACTCATTGCCTCAGATGGTGGCCAGAAGTCATCAATGATCCAAAACAGGAATCACACGTGAAGCTTTGTGTATAGTCATCCCTCAGCGTCAAACAGAACAAGACAAAGAACTCTTGATATTCTAATGCTACATCATGCTACATGTACAGGCGGGACAAGTCGAAGAAGGAACATCTGTGTATCTCAATCTCTGCTAAGTTTTGGGCCCATGAAGTTCAAGTAGCCTGATCGAAGTGGCAAAAGTGGCCGTGGCAAGTCCAAACCCTATCATATGCTACCTAGATCCCGGTAAGTTTCAAGGGTTTCAGCCTGAAGACATCTTCGTCAGCACAGCAGCAGGTGTTTATCCCCTTGCAAAAACAAAGCAGGGGGGCCTTCTTACCCTACTCACCATCAATTCTGAATGCTA